CCCCCCCCCCCCCCGATTTGGTCAAGTTTACATTTTAAAAAGGATTTATACACAACACGTAGTTTTTAAGGGGGTCTTTAATTAATGACTTTACGTCACGTGGGAGGAGGAGAGCTGGAAAGATGTTGTATCGAGGTTCAGGCAAAGGCATTATCGCTGACACAATCTGGCGTCTTTAAAAGGGGGGGGTGGGCCTTCTTTCCTCCTGCGTAGGCTGACGTCACCGCCAGCGATGCGTAGCACGAGGGGGGGGGTTCAAAAGCTTTTTTTCCCCCCCTACCTTGGCCACCGGTGTGTGCTTCCTGTCAGCGCGGCGTCACGTATGACTTATTTGAAACCGCTGACACAGACAGTGGACTCATTAATTACTCCGAGCTTGTCTTCTAGGTCGACACTTCCTCCAAACACGTGACCCTGCTGCTTTCCCCCAACCCCAAACCCCCAACCCCCCATACAAAACCACTCAGGTCACATTAGTGTTTGATGTCAATCAAAAGAGGAGTGTTAATTTGAGCTTGCTTTTTGTTGTTTGTTGCAGACATCAGGTTTGGATTTCATTAATTAGTCGTCATTTAGGGGTTTACAGTCTTGACAGTGTTTGCTGGGATTACAGTGAGATCACGGACGAACATCTCGAAAAAAAATATCAATGATTTTCTCCCTTTGATTTCATCCTCATCTCACTAATGAAACAGTTTTAGTTGTAACAATTCAAATCAGGTTGATTTCTCAAATGTACATATTTCAGCAGTCGAGTGCAAAAAAAAAAAAAAAAAAAAAAAAAAATGAGAATACTTCTTTTATCTTGAAAATCATTGCTGAATTTCCTTAGTAAAATAAAGTGAATCTTTACTGTTATCTTATGTGCTAGAATAACGATAACGAGACGAGACCTTTATTTAAACACGGGTAAAGCCAAGTGCCCCCCCCCACCACCCAAATCCACCACCCACCTCCGAAAAAAAAAATCCAATGTGGACAAGGATATTTCTTTAAAAATACGTCCAACAATAAATCAACTGGCACCGTCCCCCCCCCCCCTGCCGAGAAATCTGAAGTGCCCCCCCCCCACCACCGGGGGAAAATTTCTGAAATAACCACTTCACTGGATTATGCTAGATTGTAATGTAAACTGCACGCCAAGTTTACAATAAGAAACTTCTGGTGACCTATTCATTCTTTGACGACGAAGGGCCCCAAAGGCGCAGGCGTCAAGTCAAGGTGCCCCGGCCAGTGGTTCTTGCCCACTGGTCAAGTCCCAAAAAATGAAATCCGGCCCGCGGACTGAGACAGTTTGAGTACTCCCTCCTGGTGCACGTCCTGGTTGACGATTTCTGTGACAGCGAGCCAAAGGAGAGCTCCACAGGTCATTGGTGTTCTGTACTCCATCAGCCGGGCTAGTAGTAACGCCACTGTATATAACACTTGAGATATGATCTACTTTATGGAAGATAACGCGATGGGGTGAATGAGTATATCATAAAAATATTAGCTGAAAGCACATCTAATCCATTTAAATGATGTGTTAGGTCCCCATGTCATTTAGTTTGCTTTTTTGTATAACTCCGTCTCACACAATGAGCTTTTCTTCGATTTCCTAGTTTCCATTGTGGACACACTTACGGTATAATTTTATTTATCATATTATTTGTTGCGTATCGGGTATACAAATCCAAATTTGTGCGAAGGAATGTTGATCGAATGGAAAAAAAAAAGTTACTTGAATGGAGATTTGTTCAAGAAGGAACTTTGTTTTAAACGATTGATTTCATACGTATTTCTGATCACCGATAGGGTAATATTTTTTTAAGTTATTTTCATCAATACTATATTGCTTTAAGCAGATCGTCTATCGGGCATTTCGTATATGGCACGGTATGACGCATGAGGGGCAGTAGGAAATATTTGAAACAGTGACGAAATGGTTTTTAGTTAAAATAAAGACTAAAGACAATCACAAAAATAAAACTGAGCACTCAGCCTTATATGATTGAAAATGTGTCTGTTGTGCCCATTAAATTTGTATGTTGTGCCCGTTAAATTTGTCTGTTGTGCCAATTAAATGTGTCTGTATTGCCAATAAAATGTGTCTGTTTGGCCAGTCAGATTTTCTGTTGTGCCAATTAAATGTGTATGTTGTGCCAATTAAATTTGTCTGTATTGCCAATTAAATTTGTCTGTTGTGCCAGTTAATTTTTTCTGTTGTGCCATTTAACTTTGTCTGTTGTGCCAGTTAACTTTGCCGTTGTGCAAATTAACTGTGTTGTGCAAATTTAAGGTGTCTGTTGTACAATTAACTTTGTTTGCTGTGCCAATTAACATTATTTACTCTAATTAAAATAAAATGAAGGGCCATTTTATCATACCATTAGACGCAATATATAATTGTTCAGCTTGGAGTTAAAAAAAAAAGACTTTTGACCCCCCCCCCCCCCCCCTGCCCAGATGTAATGCTACCGGGTTTAACCGGTTTCCCCAGCATTAACTGTGTATGTCGTTACACCCTTTAAAATCTTGTATCTGTACTGTTCCATAACCAACCCAGTGACCTCTCTGGTAAGAAAAAGGTAGACCTGTAAGTCTAAAAAAACACACACCCCCACCTAACTTTTCAAAAAGGTGGTTGGGGTGGGGGGATTAAGTTGGTGGAGTGGTATAACCTTGGCGTAAAGTCAAACGGAAGTTGGTCGCTTAGAGCCCCCCCCCCCCCCCCCACTCGTCAGCCACAAATCTGGCCACTTTCAAACAGCCCGACTTGCCTATTTGAACGTGGCCTGTCACCGATATATGAATAAATTATCAAGTGGCTCACAGGACAGGACCAGATTCTGACTCACAGCTCTGATGTCTGATATTCTTGATATATATATATGAACACGACTTGAGCAAAATCTGTTTCAACCATTGTGTGTGCCTGCTGTCGACGGACCTCAGTGTTAGTAACTTAAGACAACCCGATACTGTATGTGGGGAAATCTGTTTGAAATCTTCAATACCAAGACACAGCTTTTCATTGAAGGATACGCGAATCCAATATACAATATAAGAAAAAGAGAGAGTGTATCTGAGTTTTTAATTGAGCGAAAAAAACACACAAAAAAACAAATAAAAACAAGACAAGACAAAGAATTACCATGTACGATCTCGTGTCTGTCCGAGAAGTCTGTCGAGAGTACTCGGCCTCGTCTGCGAGAGTGGACAGGTCACTTCAAACACTTAGACTAGAAATGGTGAGTTGTTGTTTTTTCTTTTCAAAATTAATTATTTAATATACTTAATGTTTTACCCGTTCCATTCCACACCACGTTGCATTAATTTGAATTAGAAGATGTATCCGCTAATCTGGATGAATGTGGATTACTTGCTTTGTTTTCCAGTAGGACTAAGCAGTTGCACAAAAATCTGATTTAGTTTATTGTCGTAGTTCTTCATTGTGGCTAAGTTATAAATCCCCTTGTTCTGCCAACTCTAAAGGAGTCCATTTTAAAAAATTCAATTAGGTATGTCATTTTTTTAAAAAAATCTTGGTTAAGAAGAAAACAAAACAACTTTCCTCAGCATACACGTAAAAAAAATGATCACCGCATTGGCTCTAATCGCAAATAAGCAGAGGCGTAGCGTGGTGGGGGAAGGGGGGACAGATGTCCCCGGGTGCCAGCTAGTTAAGGGCGCCAAAATGTGCTTTGATATTATTTTATTGATGAAAATAATGGGTTTGAGAGTTGAAAAAAAGAAAAAGGGGCGCTAAAAATGGATCTTGTCCCCGGGCGCGAATCTTGTCCCCCGGGTGCCAAACACCCTCGCTATGCCACTGCAAATAATTTAACTTGGTTTATACATTTGATGTCATTTCTCGATAACATATTTAAAGGAGCACACAATTGAAGTCAAAGTTAAAGTCGCCCTTAATGACGTTACATTGATTCTTAAATTGATGATTTAATGAAGTTACATGGATTCTTACATTGCTGATTCAGTGAAGCTACATGGATTTCTTCTTGATGATGTGTACTGACAATGTAAAGCGTTATACATCACAGTCTATCACATGTCTTAGTAAGATCCAACTCTTGAAATTGTTGCACTCTATTAAGAAAAATAATATGGCGCTCAAAGACGGTGTCTGTAAATCTTCCCAATTTTATTTCCCCCCCACCCACCAGGCACTTTTTTAAAGTAGAAATAATTCGATATGTAATTTATTCAATGTCTGTGTTATTCCCATTTTTGTGGTATGGGGGTTGGGGGGGGTTGTTATTGAGATAATTTGAGAGACTGGGGAGCAGAGTTGTATTTGTAACATTTTAAATATACAGCTCCTGCGCTACGTCACATTGGTGTTTCCGAACACGTGCAGTCACGTGCAATCACACATAGTCACGTGCAATCACGCGCAGTGACGATGGTGGAGTTTGACTTTGAACCCGGTTTTAATAAGAACCCGTCTTAAAACAGTCTGACCAACAGTCTTATTGGACCTGACCTTGAGTAGCAGGGTACAATGCTCAAATAGTGGACTAGCTTCTGGGGATTTCGGAAGCTAAATATAACCGGATGAGTGTTTCCACGACAAATTGTTACATTTCCTGTCTTTCTTACGTCACATGGTTCACTGTACAGTATACTCATCACACTTAATACGTACCGATCTTAGACAAGATGTGGAGTCAACCAAGTAGGTATTTCAAATCTCGTGTTGTTTCAAGATGTTTTTTAAAAAAAATATCAATTAGCAAAAAGCCGAACTTAGACAGTATGGACCAATGGCCGTAACTAGACTTGTCCTTGGGACCTTAATGAGACTGCAACTACCTTTAGAACAAGTAGTCTTACGGTTAAACTGTGATGTCCATGCGTTTGCTGCGACTTCATCTTAACCAAACTTAGGCTACTTAGCCCTCTCCCCACTTTTCTCCCACATTATCTTAGCGATCATTATAGTAATAATAATAATAATAAAGTTCATTTCAAAAACACGCTTCATCCCCAAAGGCTCGAAACGCGGTACAAAGTCAACAAAAAACAAATCTATAATTTACCACATTTAAAACAAACGCAACACTACAAAAACTAATTACAAGCATACAATGTCAAAGTCTTTCTAGCCATTTCAACCGTGAGCAACACAGCTAATATGCATTAAATGGAAAATATGGTAGACAATCATCCCAGAAGGTGTTTGCGAAATAAATGTGTCTTTAAATCGGTGTAAAAGGACTCCAGTAATATAATGTAATGTCATTTCCCTCAAAGCTTTTCTCCAGTTGATATTATAATTTTTTTTTTTAAATATCTTTTTTTTTTTAGATGTCTCTGAGACGTCAAGACGTGGCACTTCTTAAACAGCTGGTCACCATTAACGACGTCATCAAATCCCTCCGCACGCCAAGTCACCCCGGAGCTGCGCCACCTCCTCTGCTTCAGTCCAACTCTATCTACCACAACCGAACGCTGGCGGACTTCAGGGCCAGACTCAGCATCAAACGAACTCCTCCAGAGAAGACCGGGCATGGGCATACGAGAACCATCAGAGAATGTTCTGGAACCATCCACCGCGAAAGTGTAGCTACGGGCAACATGAAGACACCAACATCCAATCCAACAACATTGAATAATAGCCAGTCTGGCACGGAGAAGGCCCAAGTTGGCAATAAGATTCACCGCCAGATCTGTGAAAATGAGCCACACACGGCTGGCCATGACGCTCATGTCAGACCAAGGGCGCAGACCCTGGGCCGTACTACCAAGGAAATCAACACGGAATTCGACCTCAGGTGCCGGACGGCAAGCACGGACACGATAGCGTCTCAATCCGACAGCGCATACGGTTCGGGTTCAGATCTCGATGATTCTCAAACATGCCTCAACACCGTGACACCACCATCACCATTTTCTTCTATTGTAACAAGCACCCCACCTCGGCCAACATCACACCCCATTCCATCCCACAATTCAAAATTTTCTCTGACTCCTTCCATGTCATCAAAGGCGCAGTTGTCCTCACGCAACAGAACAAACTGGCTGGAAGAGGAGGGTCATGAAGACAATTATGAGAGGATGCTGAAGAAAAATATGCACATCTGGAGGGTCAGCAAGGTCGAGCCAGTCGTAACTGACTTGTAATGTGGTCTTAATGAGCTTAAAGTTCAAATTCAAGTATTAATAGTGCCATGGGGTGAGAACTACACCGCCGCCCGACGTGTGGGGGTAGAGAGGAGCAAACTTATTTTTTTTCATCCGGTTAAACGAATATGTTGAGCAAATATCTATATAAACTCGACCAGTTAAGCAGCCCTGAACACAAGAAAACTATTGTTGTTGTTCATGAGAGCTTATAAAGAACCAATTATGATGATACTACTAATTCGACATTATTATTATTATTTTTTGTATAGAACTGCCAATATTTTGTCATTTCAATTTGTATGTCACATTTTTCATGGTGGGAAAGAATAGATCAAACCACTGACTCGCGATAATGTTACGACTTTGTTCTTAATGCGAATTCTTTGTTGTGTTGTTTTTGTTTGTCCCGTTTCTGTTGTTAGAAATTCTTTGACAACTAAATGTAAAATGAAATATATTTATGTAACCAAACTCTTCAGAAGTTTTAGGGCTAATATGTGGTACATGAGCTCAAATAGTGAGGTTATTTATCATATGTGGTACATGAGCTCAAATAGTGAGGTTATTCATCATATGTGGTACATGAGCTCAAATAGTGAGGTTATTCGTCATATGTGGTACATCAGATTAAATAGTGAGGTTATTCATCATATGTGGTACATGAGCTCAAATAGTGAGGTTATTCATCATATGTGGTACATGAGCTTAAATAGTGAGGTTATTCATCATATGTGGTACATGAGTTCAAATAGTGAGGTTATTCATCATATGTGGTACATGAGCTCAAATAGTGAGGTTATTCATCATATGTGGTACATGAGCTCAAATAGTGAGGTTATTCATCATATGTGGTACATGAGCTCAAATAGTGAGGTTATTCATCATATGTGGTACATGAGTTCAAATAGTGAGGTTATTCATCATATGTGGTACATGAGCTCAAATAGTGAGGTTATTCATCATATGTGGTACATGAGCTCAAATAGTGAGGTTATTCAAGGTTATTCATCATATGTGGTACATGAGTTCAAATAGTGAGGTTATTCATCATATGTGGTACATGAGCTCAAATAGTGAGGTTATTCATCATATGTGGTACATGAGCTCAAATAGTGAGGTTATTCATCATATGTGGTACATGAGCTCAAATAGTGAGGTTATTCATCATATGTGGTACATGAGCTCAAATAGTGAGGTTATTCATCATATGTGGTACATGAGCTCAAATAGTGAGGTTATTCATCATATGTGGTACATGAGTTCAAATAGTGAGGTTATTCATCATATGTGGTACATGAGCTCAAATAGTGAGGTTATTCATCATATGTGGTACATGAGCTCAAATAGTGAGGTTATTCACGATTGTTCACCAGCCAACTCGCCTAAACCACACGCCCGTGAGTGAAACTCGCCCAATCCGTGTTATGCCCCCTGTTTAAATCAGTTTTATGCCCCTGGATCAAACAATGTTATGCCCCTACATAATCTGCCCCCACAATATCTGACCCCTCGAGACACTGCAACTCCCTCATACGTTCTTGAAATACTTCAAACGGGACATTTGCTATAACTAAATCAAACGGGACCTTTGCTTTAACTACTTCAAACGGGACTTTGCTGTAGATACTTCCCTTTCCGTGTATTGGGTCTGTGCAGATGACGTCATAACCTCTTTGAAAGATTAGATGCGTTTTAGGGATGAGGGGGCCCAACCTAAGAAACCTAAAGGTCTCATATTCAAACTTAACACGGCGTCAATCATTCATAAAGATTTTGAAACTTTTAACAGCCTCCAAAATTAGCGCCAGCGCCTGGCGTACACCGTTTTATTTCTTTCCCTGTAGGCATCAAGCGTCACAACATCACCGTTGATCCATACAATCGAGATATAAATAGCTCCACACCCACCCCCCCCCACCCACACACACACTCCAGTCAGCATAGACGGGGATGTCACCTGTAACCTGGTCTGACGGAGATCGGTGGCTCTACCTGTCACCTGTCATTCACCAGTTTACTCTTTGAACTGTTGTTTGTTTACACCTGAAAAGTTATACCTCAGAAATGATGTACTTAAAAAAATTTGTTCAGCACAAGTGACATAATTGCTCCAGCGACAGCGGTAGTGATATAATTACTCCGGTGACAGCGGAATTGACAAAATTACTTCAGTGACAGCTGAACTGACATTGTTACCCCAGTGACAACGGAAGAGATATTGTTACTTCAGTGACAGGAATAGTGACATAATTACTACAGTGACAGTGGAAGTGCAATAATTACTGGAGTGAAAGTGGTAGTGACATAATTACACTAGTGAAATCAAAGTAGTGCAAAGAAAAGCTTCTGAATGTCTTGCAAAATTTTATCAAAACTTAAATGTAAAATTATTAATGAATACTATACAAATGAATTATTCTTAATTTACACAGGTAATGATGTAATAAAAGTGTGGTTTATTTTTAAATTTGAGTTTGTTTCCTTTTTTTTGGTCGTAATTGTGTATGTGAATGAACGGAAAGGAGATGAAATATTACCGATTGGTTGGGAAGGTGTTCATAGAGACTAGATATATCTTATCTATATTACATTAAAACAGTTAGCGGAATTAGCATTGCTCTTTTATTTAATGATTTCACCTGACTCCAACAGTCAAAGATATCACCTGACTCCAACAGTCAAAGATATCACCTGACTCCAACATTCAAAGATATCACCTGGCTCCAACAGTCAAAGATATCATTTGACTCCAACAGTCGGCATGCCATGAGAGGAAGAATTGTTATTAAATTTTGGTAAAATAAATCAGGTAAGATTGTGGATGTTTTAAGACTTTAGCTCCCAAGTCACCCCAAGGAGCTCGACTCACAAGTCAATCTCAGCTCAAAGGTCAACCCAAATAGCTCAGCTTTCAAGTCAACCCAAGTAGTTTATCTCCCAAATCGCCCCAAATAGCTCGGCTCTCAAGAGAATGCAAGTAGTTTGGCTCCCAATTTAACCCAAGTAGGTTGGCTCCCAATTTACCCCAAGTAGGTTGGCTCCCAATTTAACTCAAGTAGATTGGCTCCCAATTTAACCCAAGTACGTTGGCTCCCAATTTAGGTACTCAACCCATCCGCTATTGGCCCTGCGCAACCCATCCGCTATTGGCCCGGCGGCAGATAAGAATAAAGAATACTTGTTGCCGTCCTGCCTCAGACAATTCTTTTATCGACCTTAAACTAAAAATGGTAAAGAAGTCTTGTTTACAAATGACGGGTGATAAAAGATTGGACACATTTTCATTGATGAGTTTGGGAAAGAAATCAATGGAAATAATTTGTTCTGTACGGCAGGGTCTAGGCCGCGAGCGCCTTATTTAATTTCTGTTGACACAAATTGTCAAAAACCCGTGTCTTATACATGGGTAATACGACGGGTTCGTCTTATATGCCAGAAAATACGGATGTCGTCATCAAGGTTTGTCTGAGAAATGGATATTTAAAATACAAAAATTGAACAATGACGTCAAAAAATGTACCATATATTTTCGTTGACGCCTTCATGTTTAGGTGGAAAAGGGGGGGGGGGGGGCAATGGGGTAGGAAGTTTTGGGCGGACGGGGGGGGGGGGGGTGAGCCTGGGGTGGTACTTTTTTCTATACATAGGTGGCATTTGGGCCAACAGCAGGGGTTTTTTTTCGTGTGGGNGGGAGGGGGGGGGGGGGGGGGGGGAGGTGGGGGGTGTGTTGGGGGGGGGGGGGGGGGGGGGGGGGTCAGCCTTGTGTGGTACTTTTTTCTATACATAGGTGGCATTTTGGCCAACAGCATGGGTTTTTTTTCGTGTGGGGAACAAAAATCTTGACCCGTCCAATCCACACATTTAACTTTATCACCAATCTACTTGTTACGTACTGTTATCAGCATGGAGGAATTAATCTCCGGAAGTGACAGATTCTATAGTGCCACATGACTGATCTCATGTGACAGGTTATATAGTGTTACCTGACTGATCTCAAGTGACATTATATAGTTCTACCTGACTGATCTCAGGTGACAGACTATACAGTGCTACCTGACTGATCTCAAGTGACAGATTCTATAGTGCCACATGACTGATCTCAAAGGCAGAGCTTCTCTCCAAAAAGGCCCATAGAACAGTCAATAAAAAAGCGTTTTGAATAAGCGTCTAAATAAATAAAGGGGTCGTAAATCTGTTATTGTTCCAAGCCATTAAGAACATTTTGATACATCAACATTAGCTTTTTAGTACTATGGATTAATTTATAGTTCTTATTTTAGTACTATGGATTAATTTGTAGTTCTTATTTTAGTACTAGGGATTAATTTGTAGTTCTTATTTTAGTACTAGGGATTAATTTGTAGTTCTTATTTTAGTACTAGGGATTAATTTGTAGTTCTTATTTTAGTACTAGGGATTAATTTGTAGTTCTTATTTTAGTACTAGGGATTAATTTGTAGTTCTTATTTTAGTACTAGGGATTAATTTGTAGTTCTTATTTTAGTACTAGGGATTAATTTGTAGTTGTTATTTTAGTACTATGGATTAATTTGTAGTCTTATTTTAGTACTAGGGATTAATTTGTAGTTCTTATTTTAGTACTAGGGATTAATTTGTAGTTCTTATTTTAGTACTAGGGATTAATTTGTAGTTGTCATTTTAGTACTAGGGATTAATTTGTAGTTCTTATTTTAGTACTAGGGATTAATTTGTAATTCTTATTTTAGTACTAGGGATTAATTTGTAGTTCTTATTTTAGTACTAGGGATTAATTTGTAGTTGTCATTTTAGTACTAGGGATTAATTTGTAGTTCTTATTTTAGTACTAGGGATTAATTTGTAGTTCTTATTTTAGTACTAGGGATTAATTTGTAGTTCTTATTTTAGTACTATGGATTAATTTGTAGTTCTTATTTTAGTACTAGGGATTAATTTGTAGTTCTTATTTTAGCACTAGGGATTAATTTGTAGTTCTTATTTTAGTACTAGGGATTAATTTGTAGTTCTTATTTTAGTACTATGGATTAATCTGTAGTTCTTATTTTAGTACTCGGGATTAATTTGTAGTTGTTATTTTAGTTCTTATAGCAAGCGATCGAGGGGAGATCAGAGGAGGAAAAAAAAAGGAATGCAATTAAAGTTTAAAGTTTAATGTGTCGATTGGATACTTGAACCCTGCTGGGACAGAGGTTAACTATTGAACCTGTTGGAGACATGGTGAGGGGAGGCGATGATACTTTGAGGAAATCGGTGAATGAATGTAGATCGTACTGCGTTTCATAATCAAAAGTAAATCTCCCCAGTAGTCATCACTATAATATATCTTCATCCTCCACTCCCCCTTTCTTTTCGGCCTCCTTATCCTCCCCCCCCCCAAACCCATTTTCTTCTTCGTACGCATTTACTACACAATTCTACATCAGTGGTTCTCAAAAAAGAAAGTCGGTCACCGCTACCTTGGAGCCATAATCCCAGCCCTACCACCCCCATGTGTTCCTCCACCCCCCACCATCTCTCAAAAGAAAAAAAAAACTTATTCTGGACAGTAGTAGTTAGCACAATTTTTTAATGAATATGACAACATAGTTTGATGTAATTGTGTTATTATGTGTAATTAAGACACAAAATAGCTTTTTACTTTAATTAATTAAGTATTAATTCATTAACTTGATCCAGCAGTGCTAGAGCTTTTCAACTAGGATTATGATTAGGTATTTAGCCATAATAACTTACTTCTACATCGCTCTATTCTGTGGATGGGCTTAGTAACGTCTAGTTTTAATTTTCAAATTTATTATTATATGTTACCTTTCAAAAATCTTAAATCAACCCTTTCACAAACCTGGATGATATTTCTTTGCGTGGAGTAAAGCAAGACAAAGCTTCTTAACCGCTTTCCACATTGAATGATAATGAAGTGATGTTTTCTTCCAAAGCCAAAACTCTATGCACGATTTTGTAAGCTTCGACTTCAACTTTGAACTATCTATTCATCAAAACAACCAAACACATCTGAAGCTCATAGTGAATTTATCACCCAGTCTAAAATATCAGTTAAAGAAGATTCTAAAATCGTTGAGACACCAATTGTTGGTACAATATTCAAATGGTCATAATATATTTTATGAAGATGAAGAAGTGTCACTAGGGAGCGCGGTACGCAACGAATTACCCCCTCACGCGGGTGACGCCCAAAGGAACATTTCAAATGTATCAATTTACTGTGAGCTTGAGTCCATTTAAAAACAGAATCCAGCTACTTAGATGAGCAGGGTGCTACCAGATCAGGGCACCACAAGAGCAGTGGGTCACTAGAATAGGGTGACACTAGAACAGGGTGCCATCAGATCAGGATACCACAATATCAGGTTGTCACCAGAGCAGGGTGACACCAGACAGAGCAGGTCATCGCCCTAGCAGGGTCTCACTTAAGCAGGTTACCACCAGAACAGGGTCCCACCATAGCAGGTTGTCGCAAGAACAGGGTGATAGAGTTTGTTACCAGAAAAATGTGTCAGATGTTGTTAAATGTGGCAACTGCCACCCGGTGGCCTGGTGTTAAATGTGGCAACTGCCACCCGGTGGCCTGGTGTTAAATAAGGCGTGTCAACGGCTGGCAGCAGCTACCAAACTGTGGTCTCGACATCGTAATGGCGAGACAGTGAGTGGCTTTGTGATTTCTTCTCCGCCCTACCAGCTGACAAAAGTATGTCAAGATATGATGACCTTGTTGAACAAGTGGATGATTTGTGCAAGCCGAAATCAGCTTCTCAACCGGGTTTTATAAAACCAAAAACCTATTTTTTTAAATTATTTTTTTTTTAACGTTTTAACGTTCCTGTTTCAGTTCTATCCCGTAATATAAATGGGATTTTTTTTTTGTGTGTTTTTTTTTTTTGTTTTTGAAAGGATGACCCCCCCCCCCC